ATGGCCCGATTTTGAAATGTGATATTAGAAAGACAAGCTGTCCCACCCTACAAGCCCCTGCCAGAGTCAGAACCAGGACAGATGCAGGGTCTGGCTTGTCTTGTTGGCTGAATCATTTCAAATACATTCTGAAAAGGAAAAGTAAATTTTAAAATGAGTTTGATGTGGGTTGGGCTGGGCGCCCTCAGCAGTTGGATTTGATGATCATCTGTGGGTTTGTTTCACTAGTGTATTAGAGATGGGCACCTGTCATCTCTGCCTCCCTTAGATACAGTGTCTTTCTTACATGCAGCAAGAAGCAGGCATTTGTGGAATGTATGAACCAGCAGGCAGCCCAAGCCGATGCTTTGACCAAGCATGGTGGCCCTGATGTGAAGAGCAGGGACACACTGGGGACCTGAGCACTAGTGGGGAAACTGTAAACAGGCTACAAAAGAAAAAGTCCAGGAAGCATGGCGGAGGGACAGTTCTGGGGAAACTGAACCAATAAGCAAGGGCTTCCAGGTGGAGAACTAAAAGGTTCTTCCCAGAGCCTCAGGATCAACTACCAACTCAAAGCCAGAAATAATCACAGCCCAGCAAAGCATTCTCCAGCACTGGCTAGGTGGAATGTTCATGACGACCAGGGTATGTTGTGGAAGAGATGAGTCTAAATGAGTCCAGTGAATACAGGATGGTTGGGAAGCTGGGTTTATCAAAGATATACAGATGGTCCCTTCAAATGACACAGCCATCAGCTCTCCTCAAATTCTTGGCTTTTCTCAGATCCTCACAGGATGATGTGAGCCCTCACCTGGTCTCTGTATACTCTGAGCTCTCTTCTGAGAGAATGAATTGTTGGAGTGTGACCAGACACCCGAGGAAGTAGTCAGTGTACAGCAGTCAAGACTGCGTAGATAATACAGACCCACTACAGAGCTGCTGTCCCGCACGGCCCTTCACCTGGAGTGACCAGGCAGCTGGAAAAGGCTGGTGTTGGATGCACAGTAAAGACTTAGTGCAGTGGTGCTGGAAGTGATGGGTGCTGGGGGATGGGAGGCTCAGTGCGGGGCGGGCTCCTGCCCCTTCTCATGTAGGGTTTTCTAGACTTTACCAACTGCTTGCCTTCCTCCTCCATCTGCTCATATTCTCAGTACTCACTGACAGCCTTCCCAAGCCTGCCAATGACCACACTGACTGAGAAACAGAGACAGTGGGCAAATACGTTACACACATGTGACTCGGGCTAACAAGGTGGCTCAGTGGGCACCTGCCACCAAGCCTGAAGACAGGAGTGGAATCTTTAAGACCCATATGGTAGGAAAAGAGAACCAGTTCCCCAAAGTTGTCCCCTGGCCTCTCCACATGCATCGTGGCATGCATGTATCCCCTGAAAACGAAGAATACAAGGAAAACACAAACAACAATAAAACCTAAGGATTACACATATGTTGCAAAGGGGATGAGTGGTGTGTGGGGGAAACATACAGGGCCTCAAATAGATGTCGTCTCTTGATTCAGGTTGGTTTCCCTAAAAAAACACAAAAAATACTTTTTTTCACAGACCTCCAACGGTTTATGTGCAACACAAGCAAATGAAAACCTTTGCAGGGAACCCCAGCCCAGTATGATTGGAGAAAATCCTGCTGTCCCGCCCAGAACCAAAGTCTCTTCTCTAAAATGTACCTTTCAGAGGCTCCTTTTTGAGATTGACTCACTAGGCAGATGCCATTGGTTCTTATGCTGACTGCTACAAAGGCCACAATCAAAAGACATTTAGAAAACCCAAATAAATGAAGAGCTAGTTGAAGCATGTTCAAAAATGGACTGAAAACTCAATACAGGAGAGGTAATTTTCTTCAAATTAAGCTAACAGAAAAACGGACTTTCAGCCCAATCTCCACAAGGTTGTTTTCATTTCATTTTTATTGCTTAGGCTAAATAAGTTGATTCTAAAATTCATTTGGAACAGTAAGATCATTTTGAAAACGAACAGAGCATGACCAGGTCAAGGGTCACAACAGCAACACCAGGGCAACATCTATAGAGATACAAGAAGGTCAACTAGATGGGCAAAGACCATCAAAACAGACCAGTGCTTTTAGGAAAACCATGTCTAGTTGAGAAGACACTGCAAATTGGCTGAGAAGAGGTAAGGAACGGGTAACTGCTGAAGAAATCCAGTATCCACATAAAACAAACGCTGCATTTCCGCCTTTACCATACATAGTGTTCCTAGATGTGAGGAAACTGAAACATTAAAACTCTTGGGAGAAAAGTCAGAAACTGTTTGTACAACTTTGGGGGAGGAAAATCATCCTAAATAAGAGGCCAACTGTACCAGGCACAAAGGAGAAACCGACACACACAATATCATTAAAATGGAAAATTCTGTATACCATAAGAAAACCCACATGCTGTGTAAAAATCCTACAACAGGGAAAATCACGCATTTAAAAGTATAAAGAATGTTTACCTAAAAGAAAACACAAACCAGAGAAAGACAGGAGTCTGGAGTTTATGGGCGAGGCATCAAAATTATGAAAAGATGCTCACCTCACCACCAATTAGAAAAATGCAAGTTTCAATTAGTGAAATACCATTTCACACTCATTACGTAGAAGAAATAAAACTTGACTGGAGAAGCAGAGGCAGGAAGATTGCTACAAGTTCAAGTTCAGTGTGGTCTATATAGCAAGTGTCAGGCCACCAGAGTAACACAGCAAGACCCTGTCTAGAGAAAACAAAATGAAGCAAACAAAAAACACTTGCTCAGATGAAGTCCTGCATAGAAAGCAGAGCACTCACTTGGGGCTGGAGAGATGAGTCCGTGATTAAGAGCACTTATTGCTCTTGTAGAGGACCTGGGTTTGATTCCCAGGACCCACATGGCAGCTCACAGGGATCTTTAACTCCAGTTCCAGAGGATCTGACACTCTCTTCTGGCCTCTGCAGGCATTGCATTTATGTGATACACATACAAGCAGGCAAAGTAACCACAAACAAAATGAAATAATCTTTAAAAAATAAAAAGCGCCACTGAGGGAAAAGTGGAGCAGCAGAAATTCTTACAAGCTAATATTTAGGATACACATAAGAGCAATCTCCATATTATCTGATAAAACAGAGGCCATGCATGGTCCACAGCCCGCCAGTTACACTCTAATGCATGATTTCGATGCATTCCCTTACAGTATGGGTTGGAGAGCAAAACTCCAATGCAACAGCAGTGAAAGACGGCTTATGGGAATGGGTTGGAAATGTTACCAGGGGCCCAACAGAGATTCCTAAGGAAATGCTGACTTTGGATCCCTTGCTCCTCTCTCTCTCTCTCTCTCTCTCTCTCTCTCTCTCTCTTAAATATTTATTTTTATTTCATGTGCATGTGTCTGTATGGGGGTGTCAGATTCCCTGGAACTGGAGTTACAGACAGTTGTGAGCTGCCATGTGGGTGCTGGGTATTGAACCCAGGCCCTACTGGAAGAGCAGCCAGGTGCTCTTAACCACTGAGCCATCTCCCCAGCAACCCCCACCCCTTGCTTCTCTCTTGCTCTTGTGCTTTCCACAAAAGGATGGCGCAGGAGCCAACTCTTGCCAAGCACCTGTCTCTCTATCCTGAACTTATAAACTCTACAAGTATAAGAAAGATAACAAATCTCTATTCTTTAGAAGCCACCCAGTTCCAGGTATTTTGTAGAGGTAACATAAAACAGACTAAGATGGGCTTGCAGACTAGAAACCATCAAGAAAATGCAGCTAGGTCAACTACTGTGGCGACGGGCAACAGTCTAACCCCATCAAGAAGATGGGGTAAATACAAGGTAACCATTCACACAATGCAACACTATTAAGGAGGTGTGTATAAGGAAGCCAGGATTATTGTATCCATATAGACTCATCTTAGAACCACCACTGAGAAAGGAAACAAAGTAAAAACAAAACATAAGGCTTGGATTAACCAATCCTGGAAATGTTTACAATAACTAAGGGGCATCTATTCTACTCTGGGGCACTTATGTAAGCAAAACAAACGCAAAGATGGACAGGAGAATTACGAATCTAATTTCAGCCAGACTTCTAGAGGGGAGGAAACAAATGGTATCTGGAAAACAAATTAAAATCACTCATCTTATCATAAAATCATAAAATTATAAGATCAACCCACCATTCATCCCCATATGTTACTATTACTAATTAGCCCTAAGGTAGGGGAGACTTCATCCATGAAGTCAGGTCTCGGCAAACTGAGAAACCTCAGGGAGCATTTGGTTTAGCCTTTAACATGTACAAAAAAACCAACTATCTATAGCTGGGTGGGGGACAATCCTGCAGCAGAAGTTGGGGTGACTGTATACCTCCCGCAGGTTGTGCACCACACACTTCTACAGTGCATGCTTCACAAGACACCTCAGGATGATGCTCCCCAGATGTGCATACAGCTTCCACAACTGCATTCCTCAGCCTTGTGAGGATCCTAGCACTTTAGAACTCTGGCAAAACTGTACCCGCTGCTGGGATGAGGGGTGCTCACCACCTTCCGGGTCCTTTCAACCTCACATCCTTCTTAAATACATTTGAAAGCTGCCTCTCCTTTAAAGTGGATCTACTTTTTCACACACTACTTCAGGTACCGAGAGCAAGATAGTCCCCACTCCAACCCTCCGAGATTTCAGTTTTCTAAGGCTAAATATACTCCTGGCTTTGCTTACGGCAAGCAAGAATTAGCTTCTCTGCTGCTCAGAATGAATTTTTAAACTGTTCTTTTACCAAGCACTTCCCACCCTAATAAGCACTAGGTATGCTGACATGTTTTCAAGGAACCAGAATGAGTTCCTCTCAGCTGCTCCTATGGGATGCCCTGAAGGACCCCCACATATGTCTGCTTCTATAGCAGTCAGATGGCCATGGGAGCCAAGAAGCATGGGGTGGAGGGAGTTGGGCTAGGTTTTTCCAGAAGGGATGGAGGGTGGGAGGGGATGGGGGACAGGGATGAGGACAGGGTCAGCTGATCCTTCACTTACTCCCAGAATTCCATGACCGGGGAGGTGGCATTCTGCAGGGACACATGACTGTAGTTGCTGACGTTCAGCTTCTGGAACTCCACACATTTCTCTGAGTGAGAACAAGACAAGACACATGCAGAGATTAAGCTTTATGGGGCTGAACCTGGGGAGGACAAGGAGTTGATGGCGCAGGCAGGTGGAGTTGGCAAACAGGGGTCAGAGCACAGAAGAATGCAAGCTTTGACAAGCTTCCCTGGTGGCCTGGCCTGGTTCTAACAGGAGTGGGAGGAGCAGGGCCAGACTCTGGCCCTTCCCAGAACCTACCCACATGTTGCCCCTGGCCTCATACCCGCACCATCTTCTAGTCTTCTCTTTCTCTGCTTAGTCCTGTCCATGACCTTGGCCTCTGTTGCCCAGTGGCCCTCTCTAGAAGAAACAGAACAGGTCACTCATGCCCAGTGGCTCTGGTGGAGGTGGCACATAGCAAGAAGGGACTACCATAGCAGTCTGTTGAACTGAGGGCTGCAGGAACTGGCAGAACACACACCAAGGAAGCCCTTGGTTCCTTCATCCCCTCACTCACTCAGGTGAGTCAAAAAGTTAGCCATTCTCAAAAATTTGGTCATCAAGGAACTCTGCAGCAGAACCATCTTCATATCCAGGTACAGAGCAATCCTGAGCTGTCTCCTCCTCCAGGAAGCCTTCCCTGGATCTCCCTCTCCTGAATTCTAAGTAAATAAGACATCCAAGGAATCACCTTCTCTATCTCTTGGCTATGAAGAAAAAGAATCCAAGGCATTGCTGTACACCCCCTCCCTCTGTAAAGCTCACAGCCCACTAAAGACAGAACCAAGAATAACTCCAGGCAGGGCTCCATTGCTGGCTGTCATTGACTTGGAACATGTTGGCCACCGCAGACCCTGTATCTGCAGACACAGCTGCCTGGGCCACTAGGCTTCAGGTTCCATAGGGGCAGAGCCTCCTGCACCAGCTCCTTTAGGACCCAGGCATTCTTTCATCTCAGGGGCCAGTGAGGAGAGAGCTCTGCAACATCTGGCATGCCTTCTTCTCACCGACAAACCCCAGTTACACCTGCCATAGGGAGAGGGGCATCTTAGGCACAACAGGGGTTCACGTCACAGGCTTTGAAGAAAGGGGATGACAAGCCAGGGAGGTCTTTGCTCCACTGGGAACAAATAACCTGACTGTCTGCTTTCTTCTCGCTCCTCTTGGCTAGCCCTAGCTTATGCTGAAAGCAGGTGGGTCTGGGTGCTCCAGGGAGTCTGTAGTGGAGTCTAGAACCTGACATTGTCAGCAAATATACCCCTGTCTGCTTCTGTGATGACAGTGTCCTTGGCTTGTATTAGACTCTAAAATGGTGCTTGCTAAATATTTTTCCTAAGAGTAATAATAAATTGGGTGTGGTAGTTCATTCCTGAAGACTCAGCTGATGAATCTTTATGAGTTCAAGGCCAGCTTGGGCTACAGAGCAAGTCCCTGTCTCAAAACTAAAAAAAAACTAAATCCAAGCAGAATAAAACAAAGCAGGCAGGCAGGCAGACAGATACAGACACCCCACACTTCTTCAGACATTCAATACTTGTCATGGAAAGCAAAAGTGATACAATCCATTGGTTATGCCTGCTCTGAGCACAGCAATTTCCGAAAAGGGTTAGATGGATATTCTCTTCAAGGTTGTCAAAGAAGTTCTAATAGGATGACAGATGAAAAGCAAACGGTGTATCAAAGTCAAAGGTGACCTACGAGACTCCCCACTATGTGGAGCTGGGCAGGGGAGGGGTTGCTGCCTTCAGATGTTTAGCTGGTTTGAACAAGTAACTAGGGTGTGGTGCTGGCAACTATTTCATCCTTAACAACAGCTGTTCCCCAGTCAGTGGCTGTGCCTGCTGCTGTCAAGTAGGGAGGCTGCCAGAGAAGAAATTCTTTAAGAGTAGTTGGGTGGCTGAAGAGTTGGCTCAGCAGTTGGGAGCACTGACTGCTCTTCCAGAGGACTCAGGTTCGATTTCTAGCATCCACATGGTGGCTCATAAGCATCTGTTAACTCCAGCCCCAATGGATCTGACACCCCCTTCTGGCCTTCATGGGCACTGCATGAATATGGTCACATACATACAAGCAGACACATACTCATACACAAAAAAATAAAATTAAGTGAATCTTTAAAAAGAGCCTAAAAATCAGATTTCTATACAATGTCTTCTGACTTTCAAATTCTAGCAACCAAATGCATTTTCTATTTTGTGTTTGTTACCATAAATGCAATAATCTTAACTGCCCTTAATTTAGTCCAATTCCTTCATCTTATGGAAGAAGATGAACCACTCAGAGAAGTAGGGCTGGAGAGGGACTCCTGATCCCCAAGTTGCAGCCTAGAGCTTTGTCATACTCTAACTCTGTCTGTAGGGCTCTGCCTTACCTGTAACTGCTGAATATACCCTGGGTAGGTGACCACTGTTCCAGAGGCCACTCCCAGGAAACTAAACTTATGACAGAGCCCAGAGAGTCAGGATGGATCACCAACCCCAACCCCCTCCACAGGACCAAGAGAGACCCAGCCTGGAGACCATACCTGTGTTCCACTCGTGCCCACAGGTGGCCCAGGGGAGCTCGGTGGTGAAGCAGTTGCTTAGGTAGAAGATGGCCCATGCCAGGATGATGATGTAATAGACATTGAGGTGCGCCTCGATCACCTGTGTTGCATAGCCAATGCCTGTGAGGACCAAGGGAAAAGAGCAGCTGGGGTCTCTGTCCTTTGAATCAGCCTTCAGCGACTCAGGGAAACTTGTCATCCATGAGGCAAAGTTTTCTTTGCTCACAAAATCAACACTTACCTTCAAACAAAGGGCAGACTTTCCTCCAGCAGGTAATGCCTCCTTCACTTGTGAACTGCCCCAGAGCCGTTTCCAGGAAGAAGACGGGAATTCCACAGCAGATGAAAAACACCACATAGGGAATCAGGAATGCCCCTGTGGGGGTGCAGAAGGGTGACATGGAAGCTGGCCTGCCGTTTCTCCATCCACACCAGGCTCTTCAGTGGGTATCTACTACAGGGCTGCACACAGTGCTCTTCCAGCTGCAATTCCAATCTGGCTGGGAGGGCTGGACCCAGAAAACATGGAGGGGGGCTTTGTGCCCTCGGCCACCTTTTACGTTATTCAACTCTCCCTTGCATCTCTGACCCTCAATTATTAAATGGGCTTTAATAATTAATATCTGACACCGATCACTTCTCAGGATGACTAAAATCAGAATGTTAAAAATTGCTTTGTTTGATCAATTCTTTTTGTGTGCGATTTATTCTCTTTGAGCATGTGAATACATACATGTTTGTGCACATGTATGTAGAAGCCAGGGGCCATTGTCAAGCATCCTCCTCTATAATCTTGACCCCATTTTTGATACAGGGACTCTCGCTACACCTGGGGCTCACTGGCCTGGCTGGCCAGTGAGCGCCAGGAATCCTCCTGCCTCCACATTCGCAGTGCTTGCATGACAGATGTGTACACTATGCCTGGCGGTTTATATGGGTGCTGGGGGTTCCAGCTCAGTCTTCATGCCTGAAGAGAACACACTTTGCCAGCCGAGCCATGTCTCCAGCCCCACCCTGCCCTTTCCATCTCTCTGTCCTTCAGCACAGATGAAACTTGTTTCTATCAAGTGTGTTGTTCCCTAAACTCTAATCTCAAGGGTGGGTGAAGGAGACCACCCTTATTATATTATTATATAGCCTCCAAGAGATTTTTCTCATAAAGGAAAAAAAAACCTTCTCAGGGAATTGTACAGTAAGAAGCACCAGGCTTCAAAGGGTTAAACACCCCTGCACATATGACTCAAGAAAGGAGCTGAATCCTAAGGAATTTGTAGCAAGGATCCCCCTGCTAAGCTGGTTTAGGGGTAGCCTAGGTAAGGACCACCCTACACACAATGTCCATGGCCTGAGCCTTTCTGCAAAGTAAAGGAAATGAGCGAAGGGAGCATGAGCTCTTGGGACAGATGGGGACACTCCCTAAATCCCTCATTTTCTTTCTCCCATCTAATAACAAAGCATGAAAACAGAGTGTTCTTCATCCGATGTCATGAACGGAGGCTTTACCTGAAATTGCTTTTGCTAAATGAAGCCTCTTTAACCGCTGGATTAGCAACTGGATCAACAACCTTGATTAATCCCCGTAGTGTGGACCTATCAACTCAGCTTTGAAAGGGGCTTAGCCTTTTCTGGGCAAGGGACTAATTTAAGATTTTACCCTGTGAATGAGATACTTTCAACTACGGTGGGGATCTGTAAGTCCAGCCTGTGGATATGTTATTTTGAAAAGAAAGCACAGCCCAGCTAGATTGAAGGCAGCAACTTGTGTACCAGGGTAAGTGTTATCCAAGGCCTGAATCCAAATCTATTTGATTAAAAAGCTGAAGTGGCTCCCTTAAGACCCCGTCATTCACCTGGGAGCCTCGGAGAACCCAACAGATGACTCTGGGTGAAAGCCAGCTGGCCTGTGTCTCACAAAGCTAGTACTGTAATTCCTAAAATAACCAACAACCAAACTGGGGTGTCTGCAAGGATGGAGGCTCTTGGCAAATCAAAGAGAGGGAAAAAAAACCAACAATGAGTCATTTTTCAACTTTACTCACTACAACCTTAAAAACAGTTCGTAGCAGGATTTGTGATCAATTCAATTTATCTCCATTTTCGAATTTGCAGAAGACTTCTTGTTTAACATTTCCCAGATGAATAAAGATGCTAATATAGTTTCTGCCTCATGCCAACCTAAAGGGATCCCATAGCTTTCTAAGCAGACACAGCGGCTTCTAAAGGATTGGTCTGCACAGTGAGTCTGGGCCTGCTGCCTCCCCTTGCCAAGCCACGGGCACTGTTGGCCACTTCATTACCAGTGCAGGATAGGCCTGGAGCAGCCTGCGCCTTCGGGGTGAATGTCCCCAAATAAAGGGCTTGGCCCAGGAAGTGTGGTCCACAGGCTCCTCAGCTGTTTGCACAGGAAGGCCCTGCTCTGTCTGCATCAGCCACCTTCTCCACCACCTTTTTAGGTCTGGAAGATTTTATTGAAGATTGGGATACCAAGATAGGCGAGGAAATGCTAAGACAGGCCTTTTCTGAGAGGAACTGTGCCATCACCGAAGCTTTTATTGGGATCTCTTGCTACTCTGCCATCCTATGGCAATATGAGGGGTGTGGGAGCATGGAGGGGGTCCAAGCCCTGGTCTTAGCTAGGTGTTCTGGGGCCCACAGCTTCCACTCTCTTCAGTGGCACTCTGAGGGCTTCTGGTCTCCCTCCAATATCTAAGCCTTTTCCACATACAAAATCAGCGTGGTTGCAGTTGTTGTGGGTGAGTCTGAGCCCAGTAAAAGAAACTGCTTGGTGCCAGTTTTTCCTCCAGAGAGGCCTAAAATACTTTCCCCAGAAATGTCCTGCAGAGCAAATTTAAAAGACCACAGAGACGAGCACACGGCAAAGCCTTCCCAAAAGTTGTTCCTGGAGTCAGCTCAAGCCTGCACGAAAACGAGGCCTTTGGGGTCAGAATCCCACTGTCGGCAGTAGTAAAACAGACTGCTTCTTGGACCCTTAGCCTCATCATCTTTGAGATCAGTAAAATCACTGATTTCCAAGGCAACCATGAGGCCAAAAGAAAAAAAAAGTACGAAGTCACAGCAGCTGAGCCTCCGAGGCTAAATTAAAGGGCTTCTGCCTAAAATGCCAGCCAGTTGCCTGAACGCAGAGCTCCGGGTCCAGGTCTATCCCTCATGCAGGTGACAGACGCTGCTCTGGGCCTGGTGGCAGGTGGCAGGTGGTGGCGCACTCAGGTGCGAAGCAGATCCGAGCACGCAGGCGCACAGAAACAGGTGGGCCACCCCTCAGCTCACGGGGATTAAGAGGGGGAATAGGGACCGTGCACGAGGGGTGTCCTCCTCCATAGGTGTCGCCCCGCATCCCCACCGTACTCACCTCCGCCGTTCTTGTAGCACAGGTAGGGGAAGCGCCACACGTTGCCTAGCCCAATGATCTCGCCAGCTACGCTCAGCACGAACTCCACCTTGTTGTTCCAGTGGCCGCGCTCGTGGACCGCTTTGTCGCGCGCCTCGCGCGTCCCCGCCGCGCCCCCGCCGCCGCCGCCGCCCAGCGCTTCAGACCCCCGCGCCTCCTCGGCCGCTTTCCCGTTGCCCAGGGGCAGCGCCTGCTCCGCAGTCATGGCCGCCCTGCCGCCTCGTGCGCCGGCCCCGGCTCTGCGCCGCCGCCCCGGGCGCCCGGGCTTTTGAGAGGCTCGAGCGGCGGGCGGGGGAGCCGGGGGTGGAGCCGAGGGAGCCGCCCGGCCGGGCTGCACGGGACCGGGACTCGGTATCCAGGCCACCTTCTGGCCCGCCTGAATCTCAAGGCGGGAACGATGTTGCTAGTCTGGTGACTTAACCTTGCATGCCAGGCACCTCGCTCAGCACCTCGACCTTGCGTGCCCAGCACTTTGCGGTACACTCAGCCCCTGCCCTTGCTCGCACCTGGTTTGCTCAGTGCACGGGGTTTGCCCGCACAAACCCCACTCACTGTCCTCCGAGTGCAGACAGCGGTGGAATCCTCCATCCAAGTCTAAGTGGGCTATGAATGCAACACTTGAAGTTCTACCCCCTCTCTGTGATCTCTCGAAGCATGGGCCTCAGTTTTCCCATCTCTACTCAGGGATGGATGGGGAGCTCTAACTTTTGAAAGGCCAACAGCTATGTTGGTCAGGTTCAGCTACAGGGGTCTGGCTGGGATGGGGTGGGACGTGAGATGAAAAGTACTGTGGAAGCTCCCGGATGACACTGATGGCTCTGGGCCTTCAGTTCCACCCTCTACCCCGCCCCTACACTGGAGTCTTAGTCACGAAGGTGTAGCATTGAGTGGGGACATCCAGAGAAGGGAGCAGACAAATCTAAGTTGAACGTCTTGTTTCACCTATATGAGCTGTGTGACATTGGTCAGTCTCCTGACGGCTTGGTCCTCAGTTTCCTGGTCTGCAAATGGCGTTTCCAACAATGCCTTCTTCGATTTGTTTCAGTTTTTTGTGGTCTGTTTGTTTTGGGGAAAGGTTAATGACAAGATGCTGATAAAGTACTCCTACAATAGAAATAAATGGTCAATAACCCTTAGCAGTTATTATCACCGTGCAGTACATACATGCGCACATCCATGCATACATCTTGGTCAACATGTCCCTCCAATCGGTTATACAAACAGCAGACAATACCCTGTGACGATGGCAGAGAACTTAGCATAACACGCTACACATGTGTCTAGAAAATATTCGCAGATTAAAGGCAGAGGTGGGCATGTAACTCAGTAGAACAGTGCTCGCTAAGCTTGTGTCCAGCCCTGACTTTTACCCGCAGGACTAGGCTGGAGCGGGGGAGGGGAGGGCAGATAGTGAAGACAGTTGGAGAGTTGACAGCTTGGTCTCCTGCCTATGGTGCCATCAGCTGACAGCAGAACCTCTAAGAGACAAGGCCTTACAGAAAGATCTCCAGGTTATTGGGGACATGTGTTTGCTGGGAATGTGAGAGTCCACCGTCCTCAGGAGGGTCTCTCCTGTCATCCTGAGGTAAGCCTTCGCTGCCCCTATGACACACTACTTCAGCGTGACTCCAAAGTGCAGGAGCCTCTTGGAGCCCGTGCCTGATACACTTTGGAAGCTGGTTCTTGAGCTCTTTGTTACAGGGCTGAAAAGCTGACTGGCTGACAAAGGGAGGAAGGAGATGCTGTCATGAAGGGGCCTTCAGAGAGGGGCAGACTTCTTGCACACCTGCAGAGCAGACTCCCTGTGTAGTCCTGGGTACCTATGGTCCCAGGGCTCCTGAGTACCCTGCCTCGAGGCCCTCAGACACAATCTAGATGCCCTTTTCCTGGCTCACAGCATTTCTTGAAAGAATAAATGGAGTGCTGAGGTTGTCCTCTGAGGACCAGGCTGCGAACTCCCAGCCCTGCTCAGACTGATTCGTAGGCTCCTCCACCCACAGCCTGACTGTGCTCCAGGTGACTGTGCACTTCCCTCCCTCCCTCCTTCCCTCCCTCCCTCCCTCCCTCCCTCCCTCCCCTCTCCTTCCCTCTCTGCAGATCCCACTCATCTGGTCTTTGTTGTCCCACCCCATATCCCTGGTTGCTTGTTCTGATCTGCCCTTTCCCACCCAACTAACTACTAATGGCTGCCATACCCTTCTGTCAGGTGTTAAAAAGCTACAATCCTGCAGGTTGCTCAGGGCGAAGGTCTGGCTTCATACCGTACATCTCTGCTGGCTGTGTTTTGTCAACTGGACACAAGTCAGGGTCATTTGTGAAGAAGGAGCTTCATTTCAGAAAATGCCACCATCAGAATGCCTGTGGGCAAGCCTGTGGTATATTTTCTTCATTGATGGATGTGGGAAGGTCTGGGCCACTGTTGGACATTGTCACCCCTGGACTGGTGGTCTTGAGTTAAAGAAGAAGGCAGTCTGAGCAAGCCATGGGGAGCAAACCAATCAGCTCTGTTACTTTGGCTTCAGTTCCTGCCTCGAGTTCCTGCCCAGCTTTCCTCAGTGAAGGACAATAAGCTGTACAATGAAACAAACCCAAGTTGCATTCCGTCACGGTGTCTCTCACAGCAATGAAAACCCAAACCATGATACAAGTTCTGTGCCTTTGAACTGTCCCTCCATGGCTTCAGACTCCATCCATCAAATGGGTTCATATTACTTCTCACCTCAGAGAGACCTGAAGACGACAGGCCTTGGCTTGTTTCTGAACAGCGGCTGCTACTTGGAATGTCAGGAGAAAGAGGAGAGTGGCTACAGTGTCTTTCTCTTGCTGACAGCCCTCAATGACTCTCCTTTTCCTACCAGAGAAACACAAACTGTCTACCTTGACATCAAGTCCTCTCACCTTCTGGTCGTCCCACAGTTCCCTTCTAAATCAAAGCTCATTTTCTCACATGCTCAGACCAGTATTTTCTCTCCTTCTGGCGATCACTAGTACTTCGGATAAAATAACAATTGTGGAAGGAATTCATTTTCAACTCATGCCCTTGTGTCCAGCAGTGCATAGTAACTAGGACTCGATCTGTTCTCTGAGCAGCTACATCAAAAGTTAGAGCTTATTCCTGTCTTCATGTTGGAGAGCTTATTGTTACTCTAGAGCCCTGGGAAAGCTCCTTCAAAACTGAAGTAAACCCCCCGCTCCCATTTCCCATGGAGCTCAATAGGGTGAGCTCCAGGGACTGAGTTCTCTGAGCTATTTATGGTTCACTCTTTTTCTCATCACTGTGACAAAATACCTGACCAAAGCAATTTATTTGGTGTTGGAGGAGGCCGCTTGTTGGCTCCCAGCTACCCAGCCCCAAAATAATCACACAAAACTATATTAATTAAATCACTGCTTAGCTCATTAGCTCTAGCTTCTTATTGGCTAACTCTTACATATTGTTATAACCCATTTCTATTAATGTGTATCGCCACACGATTGTGGATTATGGGGGGTGAGTTCCTGCATCTATCTCCAGCAGGGCTACATGGCTTCTCTCTAACTCCGCCCTTCTTTCTCCCAGCATTCAGTTCAGTCCTCCCCACCTATCTCTGCTCGCCCTGCTCTGCTATAGGCTCAAAGAAGTTTTTTATTCATTAATGGTAATCACAACATACAAAGGGAAATCCCACATGAATCTGGCTCACATTTTGAAGGTATAGCCCTCTGTGAGGGGAAAATCACCATGGCAGAGTGTGTGGCAGCTGGTCACTTCAAACCAAAGTCAGGAAACAGAGGGATGAAGGCTGGCACTCAGTTCGGCTTCTCCTTTTTGTTCAGTCAGGACCCACAGATAAAGTAAACTCTGGGCTGTCATCAATGACACAGAGCTCCCGGAGGTGACTTCTCAGCCCAAAGAGTCCAGGATAGAATTTACTAAGCACACAAGTCTGAGGTCACAGTTTTCTGCAAAACTTGGTTTTGCTGATACCAACAGCTAGTTTTCTGATAGATTGGCAATAGCCTCAGTTCCTCCCCCTTCTCTGTAGCTGTGGAATTTTCTGGATGTCTTTTCAGAGTCCCCACAGCAGAAGAGTTCCACCATGAGCTTACTTTGGCCCTGGTTCTAAGTCCTCTTTTTCTGTCAATACTCTGGGAACCGTCTTTCTCAGGTGGCTCAGGAAGAAAATAAGTCCCATCTTTGCTGCGGTGTCCAGGACAAACAGAGACCCCAAAGAGGGCCCATTCCACCTACTCCCAGGCCACCCAGCTAGCCCAGCTCAGAACCCCACCATCAGCAGTCCAATCTGCTGGCCTTATTACTTACAACTCTAGAATAGTCTACTGTTGTTGGGGTTTCTGTCCTGCCCAGTTCCCACAATTGTTAAGTCCCAAAGAAATCACACAGTGGTCTACGTTAGTTATAAACTGATTATCCAATTATCTCAAACTTCTTATTAACTCTTTTAACTTTTATTAGTCCATTATTCTTGCCTATGTTAGCCACGTGGCTCAGTACCTTATTCAGCGAGGCAGTCACATCTTACTTCTTCTGTGACTGGGACAGGACTCCAGAAAGAGCTTCCCTCTTCCCAGAATTCTGTTCTTATCGACCTGCCTCTATTTCCTGTCTGGTTGTAGTACCTATACTTCCTGCCTGGCTACTGGCGTTTATTTAAAATATAATTGACAGAATACAGACCATTGTGCTATTCTGAGCCACCAAGTATTAGCTTAGCCCACACACTTCTTAGATCCCCCCCCCCCCGAATTTGCCCACAAGATACAAGTCATCATTGTAAATGCAGTTTAATATTCCCTTCTTCATTTATCATAAAATTCTTGGTGTACTCTCAGGACTCAGGGCACCTCTCAGAGGAAGTCATGCTTTGTAGAATTTTATACATCACATTTTGGAGGTATCCTGGTCATGTAAATAGGGAAATACTTGTTACTTTGATGCTGTTTATTCAGGCTCAGGAAGCCATCTTTATAATTGGATCAGAACAAACATGGAAGGCTTTCCTGGTAATGCCTCCCTTCCCTGCCCCTTGCTAATCTAATTTTTATTGAAAGTGATTACCTTGTGCCACCTTACCTAGGATAGCCTTCTGGAAGAAGAATATGCTAAAAATGACCTGGATTTCCAGTGAATAATGAGATGACTGGCTGTGTGTGGGTGGTGATTCTGATTTTGTACCATAGTGGATTGAATTGGTGGCCCTGCCTCTTAACCTCATTCTCATCTTGGTCCCCATCCTTGTTCTTGCTGTGCCCCCCATG